AACTTTCCAGAATGGTCTGGAGCGGTCGTCCAGATTCTGGACAAGCCGCCCGAAACTTTCGTTCCGGAGTGAGACCATTCTGGAAGCAATCTCCTTGTTCAGATCGGCCATTTCACGTTTCCTCGCTTGATCTCCAGTCCTCTGAAACTGGCGTCTACGAACATTTCTCAGGCGAATTAAGAGTTGGGTGTGGGAATCAATAGCAATAAACTTACCCCTCACAGGAACTCGTCGGACGCACGTCTCGTCAGCCACGGTTATGGCTTGGTGGAGTCCCTCCAACGCTCGGTCGATGTCCTCCACGGTGTCAAGCGGCGGGTTGTCGATGATGTGCCTGTCTACCACGCGTCCAAACTGGGCCCAGTTTACGCGATGGTAGTCCTTGCGCAGGCTTGAAGCAGGAGCCACGTTGCAGCCCAGCTCAGACACCACCGGTTGGTGGTCGGAGCTGAGTTCGTTCAAGGCTACCGGCTTGGACAAGCCGATATTTGTCAGGAACAGGTCTAGCGTCGATGGGTTGCCCGCCGGTGAGATGAATGTTGGTTCATCCGAAAACCAAACGGAGTACAGCCCATGCTGTGAGTGGTCGAACAGGAGACGACCGTTCTGGTTCTGCTGGTAGTTCCGCCAGGCCTCATGGCGAGCATTCAGATCTCCTCCAACTACAAAGCGGGAACCGATACGGGTGATGGTGGACAGGTCCTTCTTAAATTTAGCCGCTAGTCCACTGCTGGCGGCACACTGTCGAGGGCAGTAGACGGCGATGAACTGGACGTATCCAGTCGACGACTCCACCTCCACACCAAGGGCCTCGATGATAGAGGTGCGGATATGGGACAGAGTGTGGTATTTTATTCCTTTCTTGACGACGACCGCAACACCACCCCCCCTGGAGCTGGTGCGATCAAGCCAGATAATATTGTGGTCAGGCAACCAGAAGCTGTCGCCGGACTTTAGATGGGTCTCGGTTAGAAGGCCCACGTCGATGCTGTGCTTGCGGAGGAAGTCGGCAAGCTCAATCCTTTTTGCTCTTACGGAGCAAGCATTCCAGGTGACGATAGTTAGCGGTTTAGACGCCATACTGGATGATGAACTTACCGAGCACTTGGATCTGTTCGGGCTTATTGCGGCACTTACGAAGAGCACCGGACATGTTGACGAAAATTTCCATCAGTTCATCCGCTGAGAACAGATCGGGGTTGTTGTTTTGCGTTGTTGGTTGTCTCCAGAATCCAGGGGGGGATGGAGAGCTTTGGCCAGCAGAATCACCGGAAGCTTCTTGAGGAGGGGCGGGTTGCACCCGCGAATTCGCTTGCCTTTGCTGGGGAGCACGAAGAGGCGGAAAATCCTCCGTCCTGAATGCTGGGGTTTTGTCCTTCTTGCGTCCTGGTTGATTGTTGCTTGAAGCCTGCTTTCGGATGCGTTTGAAGTCCTCGCGTTTGGAGCACTGTCTGTCGGAACCTTGATGTGCACCACCACAGTTGGCGCATTTTAACGCCACGGCTCCATCCGCAGGGCAGTTGGAAGTGGCGTGTTCTTGAGCGCAGTTGCTGCAGCGTGGCTTGATGTTGCAGTTGCGGGTACCGTGACCAAAATTGAGGCACCGCTGGCACTGCGTTACGTCACGATGGCCGCCACGGTATGGCTCCCATCGTACGATGATGGAGTAGATCGATCGCATGGCTTGCAGCGCATTGAGAGTCACCGTCCCTTTCTGGAAGTGCACCAGGAAGAGGCAATCCGGGTACGTCTTCACGTTTTCGTCTCTCCTTGTCATTCGGAATACAGCGATTGGGGCTAGCTTGTACCGGTTGATTTCAGCTTCGACCATCTTGGGGTCGAAATTTGGTAGACCCCTGATGACTACCTTGAAGGGCTTCTCACCGGGGATGTCGTGCGTGAAGAATTCCGCCTTGGAATCCTTCAGATATTTCACGGCCACTTCGTACTCCGCTTTTGTTCGGAGCATCACCTTGGTGCCGATCCTGCCGAGCTTAAACTCAGCGGCAACGCCCAGCGATGAGAGATCGCCAATCAGCGTGTTGAGTGGTACTTGCTTCACCACCAGTGGAGGAAGCTTGATTTTCACCGCACTCGGGCCGGCAGAATTCTCGGTTTCGACGGCGTCGCCGAAATCACCGATGTCGCTGGCGTTCGTCGCGGTAACATCGTCGCGTCCGCTCGTACCATCGGACTGTCCTTGATTCTTCTTCCTCTTTTTCGTCCGCTTCACCGGGACTGGGTTGGTATTTCCAACATCGGTGGGCAGAGTAGCGTACCTATTTGAGGTAGGTACCGAGCTACCCTCACCACTGTTCTTCTTCTCCGCTTGGTCACGAAGTCTGCTCCGAGAGCGCTGTCTTCCCATCACGCTATGCGACCGACACTACTGACGACGCAACGTGCAGTATATCTGCGAACGTTTGTAACAAACTATAGGTTAATCGAACAACTCGACAGAGCGAGCAAAGACCGAACTGTACTGCTTGACGTTCAAGCAGCTAATGATGGGGATGTTGGTTTGCGTGGGCGAGCCTTTAATTACTAGAAATCATCAAGAGAAGTCATTGTTTACAAAAGCTGTTTGGCCCTAATTCCAGCTCTATCTAGTATGCAAATCACGGGTCTCTAGCAGGAAATTTACAATTTTTTTCGGTGATTCCACATATCCAGAGGACGGTTTTCTAGCCACCCGGTAGTCGAATTGATATGGTGATGGCTTATTTCCTCTATTCACATGATTGTATGCAATTTAGAAAAAAACATCCCGGATCTCAAAGTCTACTTTCAGGAACTGACTATTGTCCCGGCGATTCTGGATATCCAGAGGATCATTTTATGACCACTCGGTAGCAGGATCGATATGGTGATGGCATATTTCCTCTATGCTCATAATTGTTTGCAATTTAGAGAAAATCGCGGATCTCTTGGTCTACTTTCAGGAATTGACCATTTTCCCGGGTTTTCCCGTTCCGTATACCCAACCACAGATGGCATATCGATTCCCTGTCTATTCCGTTTGAAAGTAGATAGTCATAGCTTGCAAAATATGGCTCAATCTTAAAATTTGGTATCCAAATTGCCGAGAACCATTCATGTCAACATGAATCGACACGCATTTTGCTCGGGACTTCTCCGGGTTTTTCCGTTCCAATCGGGTTTCTACCTGATATATGAAGGTAGATAGCCATACCGTTAGAATCATCGTATCATAATGATTAATCATCACATTGCCGAGAGCCAGCCATGCACCAACCAAGTACGCAGTTCAAAAGAAATCGGTAAAGGAAAGATCGATTACATTAGTATCGTGATCGACATGAAGGTGGCGCATTCTGAATGAAATTTCACTTTCCTTGCGGAATAATTGTAATTTTAACGTTTGTTGTAAAAATTATGTTTTGGATGCATTTTAATAACATAAAAACTGAGAATTGATGATTTTACATTTTGACGACACCTCGCTATTTAGCAAAAGACACCTCCCTATGGTTGTCAAATTTACTTTTGGGAATATTCCTTAAAAATTACTTTTCCGTTTTCTTTTGAGCCTGCCAGACTTAATCTGAATATAAATAAAAAAAAAAAAACTATGCAGAATTTCAATCTATAGTTTCAAGTAATTTTTTATTATTATTAAAAAAAAATCAGCGTAGCGTTCCAAGAGATTCTAAATAAATTTTCAATGCTAAGGAGAATTTCAAGAGAATGTCAAAGAAAATTTCAGGAAATTCTCTCAACGCTATTTGAGAAGAATTTCAGGAGAAATTCGGAGGTGCAATAAAGGAAATTTTGGAAGAATAATCGCGTTACATTTGAAAAGGGCCTATCGAGTTTCGTAAACAAAACTTGATAGGTCCTTTTCGCACGAACCGAAGTGCGCCCACGCAATCTAAGAGCACTGTAAAAAAAATCCGACGTCAGTAACAGGAGAGACGACCATTTTTGCTTAAAATCTATGTAAAATCAGACTTCCATATCAACTTTCTCAATTCCATCTCCAGAGGGATTTTGTTCTTTTTTGTTCTACCAAAAATTAACTCACCATCACAGTAGTTACTTTCATTTTCGTTTAATACTTTACACAGATTCTTCGATCCCGTTGTATGAGTGTGTTGGTGTAGTTTACAATAACTTTTTTATATCGTCTCTTTTTTATATATATTTAATCATATCTAGTCATCTGATTGCTCCGCTAGGGCAATTTAAGTAGTAGCAGCACAGTTGGTTAAGTTCATGAAGGCAACGGATTTTTTTTGTTGAGTTTAAGTACCTTTGAATAGCATTAAAATATTGAAAACATTGCTCAACCATTGAACGAAAATTTTCTTTCTAATAAATCTCAGAGAAAGTTCGATCCACAGGGTTTCCTGTAAACTTTTTTTCTAACGTCGGAAAGTGAAAAGTTTTCGATTATATGTACACATAAGAATATACTTATTAACAAAATACATTTGGAGAACATTTTCTTTAAACTGTTGCAGCATTCGTAAGCGTATTACAACAAAAGCACTTTTCATTCGCCAATTAATAAATATGTACAGCTGCTGCACGCGCGCGCGTTCGGAGGATATAATTTACAAGCATTTGTTGTAACGCTCGTCCCTTTTCCACATTATACAACATAACTAAATGTGAACTAATCGGAGTAAAATTAAAAGATAATGTTTCCATTCAAGAAAAGTACTCGAATCTTATCAATAATCATTCTTAGCGACTTTCGCAGTAGTAAAAAAAAGGTATAAAGGTTGAGTTATGATTTTGTTCGTGTCGCTAAAAACCTAGCAGTAGTGGATCGGACAGGAAATAAGTTCGTTCAACTAAGTTTAATGGTAACTAAAAAAATGATCTAAAACATCACTTTTTTAATCGTGAAAAAATAAACGTTCGAGACCTAACGAAAGTTTCCTAAATTTCAACGGCCAATTATATAACAGAGGATGGCTTTTACATATTCGTGTCGGTGTGAATGAGACGTTGCAACATCACAGAAACGTTAGTTTTGTTTTTCTATCTTTCGTAGTCTACTGATAGGACATCTGATTCTGAATCTGCACCTGGGTCACGAAGGGACCCCGGCTTCGAATCGAGCCGTGATTCGAATACCCTGGACCACTACCAGCGGACGACGATGAGACGGTCCCGTTCCAATTACCCTGCTGTTGCTGCTTCTGTTGTAGTTGCAGTTGTTGCTGCTGTTGCTGTTGCTGTTGCAGTTTGGAAGGCGACGAAGGTAGACTCGTTTTCCGCTGGGAGCCACCCAAGTGCTGGATGGTTTCGTACATCGCTCCATCATAGTAGTTGGAAACGGGACGTGATTGCTTCAGTTTTTTATGCTGCTGCTGCTGCTGCTGATGATGAATGGCAATGTCCACCGGGGGAGTGTTCCTGGTCGATCTTTGGGAATGATAATGATGATGACGTCGGCTAATGGTGTTTGGATTCGGAATATTTTGTTTGTTTGTACAAATACATTTGGTTGGTTTGGTGGAACGAAAAGCAAAGAAAAGAGATTCGAAATTTCGATTTGAGATTGAAGCATGGTTACAGCATTTTTTGTTTTGAAAACATATGAGTATGTAGGTAGGTGATAGTGATGCAACATATCCGTCTAGTATGGATGTTTCTACTTCTACTGATTTGATTTGGCGTGCGATGTTTTTGGTTTGCGCCTGCAGATAGGCAAGCATGCGTGCAACATTTAAAGCTACTAGTACTACTTCTGCGCGCTACAGGAAGCTATTTCTAGGCAACCGTGCAAATTACGAGAGAAAGATAGAGAAAGAGAGAGTGCAGGGAATGGGCCAGGGGCATTACCTTTCCTGCTCCACCTTTTCCCGCTGGTGGCGCACCTGTTGGCGCATCTGTTCCAGCGTGGATTCCGACAGAGAATCCACGGGACACGACTTCCGTTGTTGACTAGGACCATTGCTGGCAGCGCACGACCGTGTCGTCGTAGGTGAGTGTGGTCTTTCCCCATGGCTGCTGCTGTTTTTGCTGCCGCTGGTTGAGCTGCTGCTGCTGCTGGCCATACGGGTTCGACTCACGTACCGACAGTAGTCGCTGCTTAGCTGTCGTTGATGGTGGTGCGATTGCTGCGTCGGTGGCGAGAGCTGCATTCGCTGAAGAGCTCGTAACATATCGATGGAAATAAGCTCTTCTAGTGTTGTTGCGGTGGTGGTTGTGGGAAGTTCGGGAGATGTCGAGCGGGATCTTGGACCGGCTGGCGGCAAGGTTGCTGTAGCGTTATGGTTAGCTTGATTGTTACTATGGCATTGGCTGATAAGGGCATAGATATGGTTAGCGGAACCACTACCACCACTAGCGAGATTACCGTAGGATGAGGACCGTGAGGCCAGCGTTAGTCGGTTACTGGAAGGAGTCAAACGAGAGTCGATTTTTGCGCTGTACAAAAATTGTGGTGCGAAAGTTGATGAGCAACTATTTACAGTTTGGTGCTTCTGACATGTGCGGTGACTGTTTGGAGGTGTGAACGGTGCCCGGAAAATCAAGTCTCACGTAAACCTATTCGTAGAAACGGGTACCGTATTGGAATCTCCGATCCACTTGGGATCAGAAACATTTACTCCAAAGAAGACCCCGTTGAAGGTGAGTTGGGACAACTGCTGAGGATGAATCTGAGGGGATACTGTGAACTCCCTTTGATGTGAGTCGGATCGTTACAGTGCAAAGATCAATCGAAGGGGAATAGGGATGACCCTGGTAAGAATCACTTCGTTGGAGGAAAGTTGGGTCGAGTTTGAAGTGCTCAATATGTAAAGGTATTGCCAAAGCCGCAATTTACTAGGTATTTTTGATTTAAATGCACAATCGTCTTTTCAAACGGGCGAAACTATTTTCTTGTAAACACTAATCTAAATCTCTGTGAATTGCATTAAGCATTGACCATGATACTTTTCATGACCTTACTGCCACGGTGTAGTAACGTAAATATTGACAGAATGTCGCAGTTTCGATCTCAAGCTGAATTTTCTTCCAAACAGAAAACTTAGGACGTATTTTTTAGTTTTGATTTAAGTCGTTTTACATAAAATTTCAGGTACATCAATTGATCTCTTCTTTGTCATAAAAACTTACTTGCTAAAGGTACATTTCTAACAGGAACACACTTTAAACGATCACTGGGAATATTTTTAAACCACGGGTCAAATTAGTTCAGTTCGAGTCAAGTAGTGGAGATATCTTATGCTACCTTAGCTAGCGAAACTTCTCGCAAAGCAGCGTAAGAATGAATTGTCTAACCATTTTCCAACAACTCTTGAAGAAACGTCTGGAAATATGTAACAAAGGAGGACAAATACGTAACCCTAGTTTCCAACGGTTCTCTAGCACATGGGGAAGATCTTACATTCAAGCCTACGACAAAAGCAAAGCCACGTTATGATGAGGTGAATTATATACATACAGTAGTACCCTTCGAAACCAGCGCCGCTCGTGCTTGGGTTAGAAATTTAGTGACGAAAGAATCTTGTTAACATGGAAGCTGCACAAATCCATCGAGGACAACGTCGAAAATCGAGACGCGATGAGAGATTAGAGACAAACAGGAAATGGATTATTGGTTTTGTTGTTTGAGGTTAGCCACAGTTCCCGCCACATAGAACCACCATTGAGAGTGAAAGATAGTATACTTACAGTTTACATGTAATATGTACACATGACCAAAATGTGATCGAAAAATCCAGAGGACAAGACTCACCTGATTTGCTGCTGCAGTTCCTCGTAGTTGACGTAGTGCGAATACCGATGGTTGAACACGTCCGTGTGATGAATCGCGGAGCCATTCTGCTGCGGTGGCGGCGGCGGTGGTTGATACATCGGTGGATGACTTACCACTACCCCGGAGCTGGCCGATCGCTCGATGGAGTTGGTCCTCGCATTGCCGGACGACACTGACCCATTCGGTAGAGCACCACTGAGCGATGAGGGCCCATTGGACGTGGTGCCGGCAGCAGCGGAGTTCTTCGAACTTGTCTGCTTCACCGTTAGGGTTTGACTTTTCTGCTGCGGAGCTACACCATTCGGCATCGGCGGGCGATCGTCAGCGCTGCCAGCCCAACCGGCGGTGTAATCTGCCGGAACATTATCACTGATCGGGGCGATGCCGTCCTTGCGATGTTTGCCAAATCGGAACATATGGCCAATACCGCGGAAGAGACCGTTTTTCTTCTGTCGGTTCTTGCTTTTGCCATCGTTGAGTGATGATTGGAAGGGAGATCCACGCGGCACAAATCCACCCGAGTCCGCTTCCGGGGCAGCGTCCTCCAGGAGCCAATGTTTTTTGGCTTCTGTGAAAGATTAAGGATTTCAGTGACTAGTCTACATCCAGCAACACGGTACAATACTTACGCGTTTCCGGTGGTCGTTCGACGGCAGCCCGCAGGACCTCTTCCCGTCCTCGACCGCGTGGCGTCCGCAGAGCATTCGGGCCCCTCGGTTCATCGGCCATCTGAATTTCCTGCACCATGGTTTGCAACGACTCCAAACTGGAAGACTTCTTCATTCCCAGCGACGGTCCCAGCTCACCCAATCGATCCAGAGCCTCCGCACGGAGCTCCGACTTTGCCTTCAAACTGCTCATCCGGCCCATTTGGGTGAGTGATTCTACGGAACCGCCAGAATTGAGCTTTCGCTCCCGTTCCCGTTCCTCGCGTAGCTTCTTGTTCCGCTGGTAGGTTCCCGTTTCCCGGGCATCCAACGCAGCATGGTGTTTCTCCGACATCGATCGCCTCCCGACGGCATCACGACTGAAGGCATCCACAACCGGAGGATTCGTGTCCAGTGACAGCTGACTGGCGTATGTGACGTCTCCGTTCGGGGTGGATGTGGAGTTTCCGCCGTCCGAAGGACGCGTCAGATGGAATGTTCTGTGGGAGAAAAATTAAAATGGTTTAGATCGTTGATTCTACCGAAATTTCGACTTGCAACTCACGGTGAGGTTGGTTCTGGATCTTCCTCGATCAGCACTGCGTTGCTGCCATTGAGGTTCACCGTGGCGGGGGACCAATTGTCATTGGTCGCCATGTAGTAGCTCTCGTTGCGTAGGCCATGGCCCGCCAGAGGCGAAGGTCTTTGGTTGATGGTTGGACTACCGCTGGCACTTGAGGGATGATGATTGAGGCTACCGTTGCTACCGCTGCTGACGGTTTGGCCAGTTCCGCCCGTCAGACGGTCCAGCACCGGATTGCTGTAGCGTTTATGTTGCTGTTGCTGCTGTTTTTCATTGGATGGCTGTTGTTGTTGAGATTGCTGTTTATCGGGACTGAGATAGATCACAGTCGCCCCGGATTGCTCACTGGAGTTGGAGTTGTCGATCGATTCTAGCAGCTCGCCTGTACTAACCGGTCGTCCGATTCGACGGGCCACTGTTAGAATGATCTTCCCTGGGTGATTGCTGCCACCTGGAAATTTGACAAACTCTTCATGTACTACCCCTGAAGAGATGTCCGACCCAAACGTCCACCTACCTGTCTGCAGCATCGCCCTCCGCAGCGTGTCCATCGCTTCGGCATTCGATTGCCCCAGCAGGGAAACCCCGTTCACACTCAACAGCTGATCGTTCATCTTCAGTCGCCCATCCCTGCTGGCTGCCCCTCCATGCAGCACGCTCTTGACAAAGATTCCCAAGTCTCCGTCGTGCTTACTGCCACTGCCACCACTTCCGCCGCTACTGTTTCCGCTTCCTGTCTTACCCTTCACACTGACTCCCAGCCCAGCCTTTTCCGTGTCGTGAACCGGAATATGCAGCATCAGAATCTCACGATTCTTCCACTGAATTCCTCCGGGGCCCGCCGAAGAAGACTGCAGCTGCTGCAGTGTCTGATCCTGCAAAAGTTCGGAAACCTGATTAGTCGATGCAGACTTCAGTATCGACGTCAGGGGTCTCTTCTGGATCGCGGGTGGCATTTGAGAGCTGGCATTCTTTGGAACGGTCGATCGTACATTGTTCAGACTACCAGCGCCAGAGGAGAACGAATCGTGCGTGTCCAGAATCTCTTCCGACCGAGCACGGGAACTCTGCTTGAGGGAGGACTTCGGAAGCACCGGTGGTGGAGGCTTCGGCGGTGTGCTTTTCTGTTCGCTCTCCACTCCGCAACCCTGAAAATAAAAATTTCTCAAGTAATGCCGTCGAGCTGTTTAGCTGGTATCATTAGGTTACTTACAATCTCCCTCTCTTCCGTTTCTGCCAGTTCCTGCTGTCGTGAGACGACTATCCTCACGGTCGCACCGAACTCCGTTGCCCGAAGAATAGAAACGACTTCACTTTGCGACTTGCCCGTCATCGGAACTGCGTCTACTTCCAGCAACCGATCTCCCGGTTTCAGTCTACCGTCCTCCACGGCGGCACCTTTGGACAAAATGTTCTTGATATAGATCGGGCACTGTCCGCCAGCTTGATTGTCCCGGGTCGTAACCGAAAACCCCAGCCCGTTGATTCCCTTCTTGAGGGAAATCTCGATTCGCTTGCCTAGCTTGCGGGTATTCGCCGCCTGCAAACTGAGCCCCGAGGGTGCCCCGGGCATCTTCCGGGTCGGCGACACCGTAGCCACTTTGGTACCGGCTGGCTTCTCTTCTGCTTCGATCATCTGCGAAACCCGATTGTCCCGCTTGTACCTCGTTCCGACTCCTGCCCGGATAACCCGTAACCTGAGCTCCGGTGACGAGAGGCTCTTCTTGAGATGTTCCTGAACGGAATTCTCCGAGAGGCCTACCAGTTTGATGTTGTTGATTTCGAGGATGCGATCGCCGCGACGCAACCGGCCCCGATCCGCTCGGCTACCCGATTCCACGCTCTGCACCAGCAGTCCACCGTACTCCGGGTCTGGGAGCGCCGTTAGACCCAGGGGACCACCGTTTTCGTTCACCACCAGGAGCATCTCCCTGCGGTGAATATTAGAATTTTCTAAATGTGGTGCCGTCCAAATGGTGGCCAGCCCAAATCGACTAAATCGCTCAATTCAGGTCAATTCTATGCAATTTGATTTTTATATTCGTTATTTTGCCTTGAACTGCTCAATTTTGAAAAGGTATCGCAATTTGCGAAGATTTGTACTTTTGAAAAGGAAAATAACTTCCATTCCCGGAAATTAAAAAGAGCACAGTTAGTCGACCATGGGCTGGAAAATTTAGAAATCTAGAATCGCACTTACCCATCCTTCTCCCGTAACGACTCGTACACGGAGGCATTGGCCTGCCCGAGCGGTTCCTTCCGTTTCGACTCCCTCGGCAGCGACTTGGTACTGAAGCTACTGTTCGCGCTGGTTCCATTGTAGACCGCATTCGTGGCCACCCGTTCCGCCGCATCTATCCACCGGTATCCGTTGGCGGCTTCCGCCCCGAGAAACTGCATCGACAGCCGTCCGGATCGGGAGAACTGCTGCGGCAGGCTGTCGTGAGATTCTTCCTCCGGTAGAACGTTCCACTCCGGCGATAGGTACGGCACTCCATTCGGGGGCGAAAGTAACCGTTCCGGAGGTTCCGTATCGCTTCGGCACACCGGAGCTGCCGACCATCGTTTCGTATCCTGATGCCCATTGGGACTGACATTGTACAGCGGACTTCGCTGGTCCGTTACTCCGATTTGATGTAGGGATGGCTCACTACCTCGCCTTACCTGAAGCCCCAGTCCCAAGGTGGGTTGCTCCGTTGAGGTGACCTCAATGTGAGGTGTCGAACTTTCCGGACCGTACTTTCCCGGCTCGGAACGGAATATGTCGGGACTGCCGGTCCCGACCGAACTGCCACTAGCACCATCGCCACCTCCTTGGGGCACTCCCGGATCTGGTCCACCGGGACAATCGTCGTAGCTGGCTATGATCTCCTCCCGATCGTCTGCTACGTCGCTTATTTGATCGTCCGGATCCAATATGCCGGACTGTGACTGAAGATGGTGCACCACGACCCATGAGTCGGGATTCTGCGGAAAGGGAGAAAAGAAAAAACAATCAATTAGTTTCGCGGATTTTCACTTTCAGTACATCACGAGATTGCGGCGGCTGTGGTGTTAATTGGAGCGGAAATTGCGGGTTAGGGGCGGGCTTCTGCACTCCAGTAAACCACTTCGGCGGAGCACGAAAACCAGCAATTAGCAGATATGATCATATCTGGAACGTGATCTCAATTACGTCACAGCAAAACGCTTCATCTTAGATTTTCGAGGGAAATCGACAAGACACGATACACCTGTTCGAGTCGAGTCTTGCGTCTCGTTGGCTGACGTTTTACCAGGTAATCAAACAATCGAAGCGGCACCTTTTTCCACCTGATTGATGCCACCCGAACAACGTACCAAATGGGCTCTGATTTTTATGAAAGGGCAATAATAGAAAACTCAAACAAATGGCCTAATTGAACGAGGTGCTCGAGAGGGGCTTCGTGTCTATGTATAACGGATCGCGGAGATAAGATAAGACACTAGAGTACGCGTTTTGCACTCGTTCGGCTCTCTGTCATCGTCCAAATAAGTTTTATGGAACTTGGAGGTAGGTACGTGCTACAACACCGGTAATCTGCCATCACGAGCGGTTTGTCACGATGATGCCGCAATGCGAGGGTGGTTTATTTGAACGGTATTTATTTTGGCATGGAATCAAGCCACGAAGTTATCTCTTTGTGGATTTAGTCGGTGTAATTATTACGGCGAACGAGACTGCTCGATTAGGTTATAATAAGCGATGTCAGTTGACTTACAAGGAAAAAGCGACGCAATTACCTAAAGTTCATAATTTGTAATACTTAAAATCTGTGAACTGCCCTTGATTGCGGCGACAATTTACGTTGGTTTGATATTGTATTTTGCCTTCATAAACATAAAAGCGAAGACAATATGTCAGGAAGAGCACCCCGCCATCTACCGCACGAAGGTCACGAAGGTATTAAGAGCTCCGATCGAATGTGATAGCGAGGACAACAACCTCGAAGGAGAGTTTTGCGTGTTTGATATTTTTTCTAACTGGTTTTTACCTTTGCTCGACCACAGCGATGCTGTATTGGTACCTTAGATTCTAGTAGAGTTGCCAGTTCTGTTGATAAAGGGTGATACGGTCAAAATTTGGTCAATATCAACTTGACGTATTTCTTTCAATTTTGCATTTAAAAAACCTGAACACCCCTCATTTTGAAGGTGTGTGTGTGTAGAATGTTGCTCCTATTTTGATTTTGGAATTCACTCTTCAGTTGTCAAAATGCCGTCCAAGCAAGAAGAGCAGCGTATCAAAATTTTGCTCGCGCATCGCGAAAATCCGAGCTACTCGCACGCAAAGTTGGCAAAATCGCTAAAAGTTGCCAAATCAACCGTTACAAATGTAATTAAAGTGTTTGGGGAACGTTTGTCGACAGCCAGGAAGTCTGGATCGGGGGGAAATCGAAAACCGGAAGCCGCTGAGACGACAAAGAGAGTTGCCGGTAGTTTCAAGCGAAACCCTAACCTCTCTCTCCGAGATGCCGCAAATAAGCTGGGTGTATCGTCTACAACCGTGCATCGAGCCAAAAAACGAGCCGGACTATCGACTTACAAGAAGGTAGTGACTCCAAATCGCGATGATAAACAAAATACGACGGCCAAAGCGCGATTCCGGAGGCTGTACACGACGATGCTGACGAAGTTTGACTGCGTGGTAATGGACGACGAAACCTACGTCAAAGCCGACTACAAGCAGCTTCCGGGACAGGAGTTTTATACGGCAAAAGGAAGGGGAAAGGTAGCAGATGTTTTCAAGCACATGAAACTGTCAAAGTTCGCAAAGAAATATCTGGTTTGGCAAGCCATCTGTACCTGTGGCTTGAAAAGCAGCATTTTCATAGCTTCCGGGACTGTCAACCAAGAAATTTACGTGAAAGAGTGTTTGAATAAACGTCTGCTGCCTTTCCTGAAGAAACACGGTTGTTCCGTACTGTTTTGGCCGGATTTGGCATCTTGCCATTACGGTAAAAGGGCCATGGAGTGGTACGCCGCCAACAACGTGCAGGTGGTTCCCAAGGACAAGAACCCTCCCAACACGCCAGAGCTCCGGCCAATTGAGAAATACTGGGCTATTGTCAAGCGGAACCTAAAGAAGACCAAAAAACTGCTAAGGGCGAGCAGCAGTTAAAGGCAAACTGGCTTTCTGCGGCGAAGAAGGTGGACAAGGTGGCTGTACAAAATCGGATGGCAGGGGTCAAGCGTAAGGCCCGGCAATTCGGATTTGGAAAAGCGGAAGCCTAACTGAATATTTTTCCTGAATTTTATACTAATTGAACTTGAAAAAGAAATTTAATTTGATTTTTTAAATAAACGATTTCACCGATTTACACGCGTTTTCCCTTAACCAAATTTTGACCGTATCACCCTTTATGATGTCTTCGATGAAACCTTCTCTCTCTCTCTCGCTCCATTTGCTTTTACGTCGCTACGGGACCTTTAGCTTTCTATGCCTGTACCATTTTTGCATTTCATTTGTATATTGTCTTGCAAGTACAACAAGTCAAACTTACTCTAAAAGCTGTTCATCCAACATAGCATGAAGAATTGAAAAAAAATGAATTATGATGAGACGGCCAAATGAGTTTTGATGAAGGAAGGAAGGAATTCCAGGGATAATTCTAAAACAATTTTGGGGAGAATTCCAATGGAATTTGACTAGAAAGGTAATTTTGGAAAGTATTGTAGAATTGTGAGGAGAAGTAAAGGTGAATTGTAAGGTATGTAGTTCTGAAGAGATTGGGATTATGAGTGTAATTCCAGCGATATCTGCAGCAAACAGTAAGGAACTTCAGGATAACAATCTAAGGGAATTCGGAGCCTCCTTCTACGGCAAACTTGACTACATGACTACAATGCTCGTACTACGCTTAATAATCACCGACCGAAAATATCTTAAATTTGTATTAATAAATCAGTCAAAGCGTAATCATGAGGGGGAAATATGGATTATATGATCATATTAATCTAATTATTAAAATAGCTTAAACAAATCTTAGCAAAATTTGAAGCTAGTTTGAAGATAGTTTCAAGGGATTTCCTAATAAAATTCATACGGAATTTTAAGGTTTCCAAGTATTCCAAGAGATTTAAAAAAAATCCAAAGCAATACTAAAGAGCGATTTTTATAAAACTTTTCTAGCATGATTTTTCCCATGCTTGATTGTGTGTTATGGGCAATCAGTGGTGGCATAATTATTAGCAAATTGATATTTTTTCGCTCTCGTACGCTCTCAATATCACGCGTGATATATTTATGTTACAAGCTCTGGAACTGGTAAAGAGGATTCCAAGTTAAATCCAAAAGATCCCCTTGAGGGCTTTTTGAAAGGAATGTTAGGGACCTTCTGAGGAAAATTCCCATTCCCAAATTCTGAGGTAAAATCCAAGGAAACTTTCTAAATTTGTAATCGCATATCAATACATTTCCAAGGAATATTCTAAGCGGTTTCTAAAGAAAATCAATGGAGAGATATTTAAAAAAATTCTCGCTAGAATTATTAAGAATGCGAAGATGAATTAAGAGTGAATTACATGATTTTTCTGGCAAGAAATGCTTAAATGTTCTGGAAGGAATTCCTTAAGCCAAGCTGAACATTGCATTAGGTCCCAAGTAACATTGATCGATTCTCTTCGTCGACTTTCTCCTTCATTAATTACTGTTGTATTTGTCGTATTTTATTTTTTTCATTAATTAATTTGATAAGGCTCAACCGAATTAACTTTACAGAGCCGAGGATTCTTGTTCACCATACAATACATTTAAAAATATAAATCCTTTAAATTTGTCGAACCTCTTAACGGAATCCCTTTATGAAGAGCTTTGAGTGGGTTGGTTTATTTCCTTTAAATTCCAAACCATGGAATGGTTTGAAGTGCTTGGTATTACTCTCTTTGTATTTATTGGTTTCCTATAGATTTCAAAATTGAACGAAGACGTTTCCCTGATGATGAGAAGATCTAAGAAGGGGAGTTTGCCGTCTCTCTCTTCTTTGTGAGTAAATTTGATGTCCTTGTGAACGTTGTTTACGGCCTCCAAAGTTTTTGATAAATCTTCCCTTTTGACAATGCTAAAGATGTCATCCACGTACCTTTACCAACATTTGGGCAACAAATTCCTATCCTCCAGAGTATTTTCTAGGTTAGCCATGAACTATTCACATAAAAATGGAGGAAGCGCATTGCCCATGGGAGTGCCTTTAGTTTGTTTATAAAAATTTCCTCTGAAAATTAAATAATTTTCCTCCATACAAAGACGAGTAAGCTTGACATATGACCGAACTTTGCTTTTCCAAGTAGAATCCTCACGTTGCTTCAGAAGCCAGTCCTCTAAAAGGCTGATGGCTTCCTTTACTGGTACACTCGGAAAAAGTGCTGTGACATCAAATGAAACCATGACTTCATCTTCCCGAATCTCTCCTGATGTCTGAAATTGATTTGCGAATTCTTGTGTGCTGTTAACTGAGCGAGTGGCTTTGACATTCCTTTACAAGCCATTTGACAAGCTTATGAGTGGGGGATCCTTCAGCCGAGATAATCTCTCTCATTTCGTTTCCTGGTTTGTGAATCTTTGGTAAACCTTTGATCCTAGGTAGAATAGGGTTTGAAACTTTCAATTGATTCGTAGTGTTGCTAATAAACGCCTTGCACTCTTTCAACGTTTTATCCACAAGCTCTTCATTAAAAATATAGTCAAAAAGTACAACGGGAGCCGCTTCCAGTGGTTTCATTGTATGGCAGATTCGTCAACGGGGAGTAGAGTGCTTTGATTTCAAGAATGGACGCAAAACGTGGTCAGCACTCACACATTCATCACGAAACGGTTGCTTTCCAAAGTCGACGACGCATCGACTGAAAGAACTGCTGATGAAGAACGATGAGGAGGACCATACAATGGTTACTGCCGAGTAAACAGACGTATTGAGAGTGGTCTGCTTCTGTCGACATCCGAGTGCACA